ACAACCGTATCGAGCGATGTGTAATCCCCGCCGTGCGATAAAGTACACACCCGTGGTCCACGGTTTGAATTGGCTTTGAATCATCATGTTTTATTATTTCACAAAATCTGTTCAGTACAAAAATATTACAGTATATGTATATATATATATATATATATATATTTATATTTTTGTAAATATATATATACTTCATTATATCGTTATCATCCTCTTCGAAATCCTTGTCGCTTTATTAATAACTAGTTTATTATTTATTTCTAGGTTAGGAATTTCTAATTTCTAGGTACATCGAGTGTGTGTGTGTGTGTGTGCATATGTATGTGTGTGTGTATATATATGTGTGTGTTTCAATTCTTTCACGACGGTTTTAAATATTTCGTATCGTAATAAGTAATCTAACGCTGGTGCAGACAGACGGGCGGTTTATGGCACGTTCGATTTTTTTTTTTTTTCCCCCTTTTCTTTTCTACGATTTCTATCAGGGAGGAAATTCGAGATTAATGTGCGACAGATCCGTAATCCGCCTGTTCAAAGTGATAACGTCGAACTTAATCCGGTTTTTTTAAATTGTTAAAAGGAAAAGTCGTTCTTGGCCGAGCTCGTAAAATATAATATCATGTATTATTTATGCGTGTATAATTTCGAATCAAGTTTAAGACTTCTTCGAGGTAGATTATACGGTGCAGTAATCATTCTAATGAACGTGTTCCAGCTTCCTGAGATGCTGTCTAAACATGCAACCTCTGCACAACATCGTATACATCTAACCAATCGATACACTTCTCTCGCCTTCTATTTTCAAAGGAAAGGAAGTAATCGTATCAGATCCATTGATCCTACAAATGATAAGTGATATCAATTACCTGTTCCCCCTCGAACAAGCCATGTAACCAATAAACCAATGAACAATCCAAATGAAATTTAAACATGAAGAATCTAAAAAAATTTTAAATCAACGACGATTTGACAATTCGTCAGATTACGAGGATTGATTTTCCCCTTGATATCCATTTACAAATCTCTCCTATTATCTATTCCTAATCTCGAGAATGATAAGCGGCAAACGGATGATACGAGCTATCGTAATCGAATTTTTTTTTATTCACCGATATCCCTGAAGAACCTGTGATAAAAGCCCTATAATATAGGCACGATGGAAATGGGAATGGCTTGCAAAGGAATGAAAGATAGATTGATAGAGAGGCAAGCAACGGGCCGATACGGGCATTTAATCGCGTGGAGGATCCGAGGAAATGTAACTCCAAAGACTCTTTCATCCCCCGAGCAACTCAACGAGATATGGTGCACACGTGGTGGAGGCGTTTGTTCGAAGATCGATCGGCCGGCACGAGGAGTGCACCTTCGAAAAGAAGCCGGAGGCGAGCACGTTTGGAAAACTGGCATATCTAGGGCACGAATGGACCGGCCGCAGTGATACGTTTCCGGATAGCGAGCTCCCGAAGTGGCTATCGCGACTTTTCCCCGGCTGCATTAGCTAATCAGGCAAAGGAGAAAGAGGGAGAAAGGGAATAGGGAGGGAGGGAGAGAGAAAGGGAATAGCAGCTCGACGAAATGACCCGTATTCCGATTGAACGTGGAGCTGCGTGGGCGTGCGGTTCTCCACGAGATCGCCGCGCAGGGAGATGAAGTCATTCAAAACCCGATTCTCTTTGTCTCGTCCCTTATTTTCGCGAAAAACTTTTCTAACCGGATACCGGCCATAGCGTGGAAAAATACCACAACCATAGGGGACCCGATCGAGCAACGCAGAGGAGGAGACGGGAGAGGGAGACGGGAAGCCTATCTCGGTCGATTCGATCATACCAAGTTTCTTTGAGAGTATGCACCTGAATTTACTCGTTCAAACGATATTGGATACAATGGAATTGAAGGAAACCGTCCCCTAATGGCGATCCGGATGGACCGATATCACCGGATCCGATTCTGCGTGTATCAGAGCGTTTATAAGGGAGGCGAATTCGTATTGTATTTCTATTCTCTTCTTCTTTTTCTTCCCTTTTTTTCTTTTTTTTTTCGTATTTTTCATTTTCCTAAAATTTCGCATTTGTTTGTTGGCGATATATATGATGGAGGAACGAGTATCGTCGAAGGGTATTTACGTTCATCAGAAATCGATGGTGTTATCGGGAACTTGTTTGTATTTTCTGCGAAAAAAGTTTTCGAGAAAAGCTCCTCGAAAGTTTACAGTAAAAAGGGTGTGGGTACAGCTGTCGCGAATTTGAACGGGCTTTTGTACTTCGAAATATAACGGAGAGAACTCGGACTCGCGTGGATGGTCCGACTGGACTGGACATGTCTTCGTATTGTTCGTGTTGGGGCAACATCGAAGGGAATCTTGATACTGTATATATAACAACGCAACGTTATAATTTGTTACAGAGTTTCCTCTTTAATAACAATCTTTATTTACCCATTAAAACGGTGATAATTATTGCTTATCGTGACGCAAAAACGTTACGATAAAAAAATAAAAAAAACAGTACTTATTTTCAAACAAGAGACGCGACAGAAACTAGGCCATTCCATTCGCATTGTCCACGTAAAATTCATGTTTGCAGGATTTTTTTCTGCAAATAAAAAAAAGACTAAAGTATCCACCATTGAGCCCGAGAGCATTAATTCCCTTTAAGAGGGAACAGAATATTCACAACAGAAAATTGTTGGCCACCCGGTATATACACAGCTCGCAAAGGGAGCACACGCGTGGACACGGGGGCAAATAATTCCAGGGCGAGGTGGCGATTCTTACGCTGTGAGCCGGCCGGTTAGTGACCGACTTGCGCCACAATGGAGGCAGCTGCACGCAGTCGGGAACGAGAAGCCCGGTTCCCGGGCTATCCGGACAAACATATCGCGGCGATGGCCAACGACGGCACACACCCGGTATACCAGCAGTGCCAGGAGCACCACCACCGCCTAGCACACCGCCGCCCGTCTCTGCACCCTCTCTGCACGAGTCGTATTC